ATTCACTGTACTTAATCTGGACATGTGTCAATCACACTGCTATTTACAGTCGACAGATAACTAATTGCTATATTATGTAGGTTCTCATTTCACTGAAAATATTTATTAAAAGTGGTCGAATGTTGTTTTCTCACATGACCGACTTTTTTGGCATTCATCATGTGTATGAAAATAACTGTAGGAATATTCTCTTCTTTACTGTGTAATCTGAGTTTTGGTAGTATTGCATGATTAATTGACGAAGGATATGTTTGGTAAAATTAGCTGATAAAGTAGCTGATTGCTGATAACTTAACTTAGAACTGATATATAATTTTGGAGCTTATAGCTTATAACTTATGATTTATAGCTGAAAAATTAACTTATATGATAGAAGTATTTGGTAAAATTAGCTGATAAGCTAGTTGAAATAAAAAATTCAACTAGCTTATTTGAGAAACTAACTAAAGAAGCTTATGAAAAAAATTTGAGCTTTTTAAAAAAGTTCCTACCAAACGAGACTTATTTGAGTACAAGAAGCTTATAAGCTAAACAAATAAACTATAAGTTAGTTTATTTGACTACCAAACATAGCCGAAAAGGAAATATAAATTTGAATACAGAGTTTCGAAAAAGAAAAAAAATCATTTAAAAAATTCAATTAATTGGCTTTAATAAATAAAATTTATATTTTAATAGCGAACGGGAGTGGAGGGATCGAATAAATACAAGCTACAATGTTCTGACTGATGGATTGAAAATAATAATAAAAATTATAAATAAAAAAAAACCTTTATTAGATATGCGATTTTCTATTATCAATTTGCTATTAGATATGCTATTTCCTGTATTAAATTCAAATATCAAAAAAATAATTTACTATTATCAATTACGTAAAGTAATCTATTAAGAAGAAAATAAAATATTGTTTTTTTTCTACAAATTTTGACCTTTATTCCCTTTTTTCTCATTTTGGGCCCATCCGCCCCATCCCAACCCCATTCGTTCCAAACTGAAAAACCAACAAAATTATTTATACAAATAAAATAAATAGTGAAAAGACGGATAAGCACCCCTTCAACTACCCATATAAGACAAAAAACACGCATACAGGATTAGTATAAATAACTACACACATTCTTGTTGTCAGAAAACTTGTTAATAGGACCAGAAATGGCTTCTCCTTTTTCTCAATCCATCATCTTCACATTTATCCTACTTTCTGCTATTGTTGCATTCGCAGATCCAAACAATGTAAAATTTTCATCGTACCCAAAAACGCAGGCCGAGAAACTCATCAGAGCACTCAATTTGTTCCCGGAGCATGAAGTGAACCGCGGTCCCGAGATCGATTCCAGTGCACGCGGAGTTGTGGAAAAGAATTTCAAGTTCCCATTCATGGAGGATTCTATTTCTATCAATGACTTGGGCCATCATGCTGGCTATTACCCTCTCCTACACACTAAAGCTGCAAAGTATGACCGAATAACACTCACATTCACACTTTCAAATTAATTATTCCTTTTCTGCTTCTGTTTTTCATGAGAATTAAGTGACCATCTGATTCTGATTNTAAAATGTATGATAGTTTGTCTTGGGCTGTTCCTTAATTCATGATTGGATTGGATTATTGTGTATATGGATATGAGTGATTGGGCCTATATAGAAAGAAAGAATGTTTTAATGCATTATTATTTAAGGGAATATTACCCAAAACTTCTGATGTCTGGCAAAATCTTCTGAATACAGGGTATAATAAAAGGGGCCATGAATAATCTCAGAGTTGTTGTAAAAGATCCTGTTTGTATTTATTCATTGGTGAAGCCATAATGTCATTTATTGTCCCATGAACAAACAAACATTTATATATCTGTTGGCAATTATTTCCTATAGTGTAAAATATATGCCTATTGAGGTATCATAATTTCATAATGACATTTTTCCTACTTTTTTTAATTGGTGGTTGGTTTATTATAAAATATATTATATTTTCCTTGGTCTGCAGGATGTTTTATTTTTTCTTTGAGTCGAGAAACAGCAAGAGTAGTGATCCTGTTGTGATATGGCTAACAGGAGGACCAGGCTGCAGCAGTGAATTGGCCTTGTTCTATGAAAACGGACCCTTTCACATAACCGACAATTTGACCCTACAATTGAACGATTTCGGATGGGATAAGGTATATTTTTAATCTCACCTTCTATACACATTTTACCATATATAGGAAATAAATTAATAAATAAAATGCAGGTCTCGAATCTTATATACGTTGACCAACCAGTAGGGACGGGTTTCAGCTATACTTCTGACGAGGACGACATTAGACATGACGAGGAAGGTGTAAGCAATGATTTATATGACTTCTTGCAGGTTCGTATTTTTTTTGGCATGATTGCACGTTTTGTTACATCCCTTACTAATTGAGTAACATTCACTTCATGTATACGTACATATTAAGGGATATTCGTCTTAATTACACTTGTTAATGGCAGGCTTTCTTCAAGGCACATTCTCAGTTGTCAAGAAACGATTTTTACATTACTGGAGAATCATATGCTGGGCACTATATTCCAGCTTTTGCCGCTCGGGTTCATCAAGGGAACAAAAACAAGGAAGGAATTCATATTAATCTCAAGGTATATTTGTCTCTTATTCATTTCACATATGCCATTCTAATTTATTTTTTATTTTTATTTTTTTTTTAAAAAAAAATTAATTCATTACCCATTTCTTTCAGGGATTTGCAATTGGAAATGGACTAACAAACCCCGAGATTCAGTACGGGGCATATGCTGATTATGCTCTGGAGAATAAACTGATCACAAAATCCGAGCACAAGAGCATGAATCAGTCTATTTTGGAATGTCAGCAAGCAATTAGGCTCTGTGGTAAATATGTGCTTCCATCTTTTGACTGATGCCTTCTACTGAAATTTAATTTAATTCTGCTTTTATCATCTAATCAGTTATTAATTAAATTTTTAGGTGTTGAAGGTCGTGGTTCTTGTGTGGCGGCTTACTTGGTTTGCAACGGAGTCTTCAACCGGATAGTGCAAATTGCTGACGGTGTAAATGTACGAGTAAAACTTCTTTTTATGTATAACAAACATGTAATATTAATGAAGAAAATCTTATTAATAATTTGTTTTTGGCTGTTTTATCTTTTACTTGCAGTATTATGACATAAGAAAGAAATGCGATGGGAGACTTTGCTACGACTTCTCTAACATGGAGAGATTTCTGAGCTTAGAGTCGGTCAAAAGTGCCCTTGGTGTAGGGGACATTGACTTTGTGTCTTGCAGTACGACTGTTTACGATGCTATGATCTCTGACTGGATGAGAAATCTTGAGGTCGGAATTCCCTCACTATTGGAGGATGGGATTAAATTTCTGGTTTATGCCGGGGAATATGATCTCATATGCAACTGGCTAGGTAAAGACATTTGTACTTTAATATTAGGAAAAAATATTAAAAAAAAAAAATTAAATGAATTCGAATGAGATGTTTGGGCAGGGAATTCAAGGTGGGTTCACGCGATGGAATGGTCTGGGCAGAATCAGTTTGTAGCAGCTAAGACAGTCCCATTTAGAGTGGGCGGCGAAGAGGCTGGGCTTCAAAAGGGCTATGGCCCGCTAACATTTCTTAAGTTTTTCAATTCGGGCCATATGGTGCCCATGGATCAGCCCAAATATTCCTTGGAAATGTTGAGTACATGGATGCAAGGCAAATTGTCTTTGACACAAGATGGTGATCACCTTGCCCACATTTGATTTATATAGCTTAAACTTACATAAAGAACCTTTTTCCTGTCCTATATGGTTAAATGTAAAGGATTCACAGAATGACAGAATCAGGGGTTCATACAAAAATCAAGTATTGTTTTTGATGTATTTTGTTTTCCTGTGTGTTCATTTTATAAAATAGTGTGGAAAGCGGAGTTGGCAATTTCTTTGAAGTGAGAAATAAATACATAAATAAATAAATAAGTTTCAGTACCACAAAGTGATAATTGCAATGTTTCCAGTTTTAAGCACGATGGTTTTTACCCACATTCTGCTTCATGCACGATAGGGGTGTTCACGGTCTTGATTTGTCCGGTTTTAGTCCAAACTATAACCAAATCGGACCTAACGGTTAATTGTTTTCTTGTCCATAACTGGACCGGTTTTATTTTTTAACCGACCACAATCCGGACCGCATTGGACGGTCCGGTTTGGCGGTTAACCGGTTAAATCTAAAATCCTTGTTTTGGGTCTTCAACTTTATTTTTTTCATTTTGGGCTTAATTTTTATTTTTCAATTTTGAGCCCAAAAGAGATTATTTGGGCTTAAAAATTAAAAAAAAAAACAATAATGAAATAAAAAATACACCTGTGCTTGCGGCTCTGGTGACGAAGAGGGCGACGACTGTCGTGACGTGAGCGAAAGCCGGGGTGTGTTTGAGGCGCCGACGACGAAGAGGGCGGTGACTATCGTGAGGGAAGTCGGAGAAGGTGGAAAATTGAAGGAAAAAATAAGTCGAAAAAAGGTCGGGGAACTGAGAAGCCTGAGAGTGGGAAGATGGGAAAAAATTAGGGTTAACTCAAAAAATTAGAAAGAGAATGTGGAAAAATCTGAAAATGAAAAAACGAAGGTAGAAAAAATTGAAAAGTTATAGTGTTTTACAAAATTAAGTCAATAAAAGGCCAAAAAGTGAAAGTGAATGTATTGTATTTGTCGGCCATAGAGTTGGGATCCAATGAGAATGGTAGATAATGAAAGAAATAAGAATAAATATGTACCGTTAGATGTGGTTAACGGACAATCCAGATGCAGCCATTTACTTCACTGGTCAATAAAAAAAACGGTGGCATTATCGTAAATAAAGGGAATTTCAGGTTTAAGGTAGTACATGGAAGGACATTATTGTCATTTCAATTCTAAATGGTAAATACAGAGATGGGGCGTGCGGGGGAGTCCATAGTCGACACTCGACAGACGACATGAAGCTTGAGAGAGACGGGAGAGAGAGGGCTTAAGAGAGATGAGAGTACTTGAACTCCATATTCAAATTGAAATCTCCGTGTTAATCGGGGCGGCGCGAATGATTAGGGATGCCGGAGACAGAGGGTTAATTGGGCCAGCCCACAGAGTCAAGTAAAGATTATGTTTTTAGCTCCGATTCGATTTTAATCGCGTTAATCCCCGAGTTCTTGTCTGTTTGTTTTGTCAGTCCATTTGATTGTGTATGTGTGTGTTTATGTGTATATGCGTGTTTGATTGTGACGATAACTTGTTAGCGATTGGTTTTGGATCGTTCTAGGGTTTTATCCTTTCATTCTCCTTTTTTCCTTTCATTCTCCTTTTTGCTTTTATGCGTTTTTTGATAATTTGATGAGTAATTTATGTTCAATTAGGTAGATTGTGTGTGCATTAGTGAGTTGATTCTATTTATGTTACCTTGATGATGAACAATTGAGTTCTATATGTTTGATGTTCTTAATTTTTTCTCCATTTTTTGCTAAACTATTTCGCAGAAGGTGCTTTTTTGGTTTGATAAGCTATCAGATTTGCCACAACTTATGGCTTTTAAATTTGGCATCAGTGACGATAAAATCTTTTCATCTTTTCACCAGGAGAAAATAGTCACATCTAAACAGCCATTAAAGGAGTCAATCACAATATCTGAACAATCAAATCAGAATAACCGTCTAAAGAGACGATTGATGTCACGAACTCGGTTCCTGAGTTAGAGTAAGCCCTCACTTCTTTTAGTTCTTTATCAGATTCTGAACTTTCGATAGGTTGGTGCTATGACCTTTTACAAAGAATGTGTTGTTGGAGTATGAGGATCTGGGCCTGCAGGAGGCTGTGGCCAACATGATCAAGACCCGTTTGGATGGTGGAGACAAGGCCGGCATACGAGTTTAGTTAAATGTGCCACTGAGGATGGGTTGATGGAGGTTGGTATATGGAGAATAAAGGGGGAAGTTAAGCTTGATTTTATTGTCTTATTATCACAGGTGTTGATAGGGACATATTCAATTTTTGATTTGTTTTCCTTTTCCTGCTGAAATTGTTGCATGCTAGATATATCATCAAATTGATGTAGGCGTAGCATCGTTTTGTTTTCTTGAATTCCAGATAGGCATAATGCTTTCTGTTTTGAGTCTTCATTCCTATTCGACACAGAATTATTTTCAGATTTTGTTGGCGCGTTTGTTGTACTGACTTAGTGTAACTGGTACTTTCGACAGCTCACACTGGAACACTCGATGTAACCCCTTGACTGAAGGATATTCTTTCATGACTCAAATTAGTAGGGGTTGTTCCTACGTTGTACCAGTTGTAGCATATACGGGTTAGACAGGTTGAGGATAATGCTCCCATCACTTTAGGGGCAGTGGAAGCTTGACTACTAACTCCTAAATCCGAATGAGGAAGGTTCGATGTAATTGAGAAGGTGTTATTGTTTACTATCTAAATGATTAAGGTGGGTTTATGTTGAGTTCAGGTTCATTATGTGATTATCTAGTTGTTTTTCCCAATTTGTGAGTAGTCCTCTGTATTTATACCATTGGTAGTTGTCATTAAATTGATTTTGTAATTCACTGGTGAATAATAGCATCTAGACTGCTTATAAAGTGCATTATTTACATTGTTATTTATAAAGTGATTTTGTAATTAATTGCTTATAAAGTGCTTTGTTTACATTATTGTTTATATACTGGGATATGTATTGGCATGTCTGGTGGCTATATAAAATTTCACTAGAGCATTTTGTTTCATAATGGGCCATGGCAGCACCAAGGTCGTATGTTGTGGTGGATTATCTTCTGTCCGCAATATTATAGCAGCATTGTGGTGGCATTGAAATGGAGACCATGGCAGTGTGTCCGCAATATTGGCGCAATATTTTTATTGTGGCTATTTCTTGAATTTAAATATTTGCAAAACTAGTGTGAGTTAAGCATTTATAAATCTACGGGCGGATGGGAAAATGAATTAGGTGCACTAGAGTTTTACGACCACATTTTTGTAAGAAATTCAGGCAATATTCATTATGAGGGCAAAGGATGGTGATAAAAAATATAATGTGCTTTCTATAATGTTTTAATGTGTAATATTTTATATATTAATGTGCAATTTTAATATCTCTTCTTGTGTGTTACATTTGATGTTTGCAGGGATATATCTATAGGTGAGTATTGTCAATGTTTGAATATTTTAAGGTGCATTTATTTATATGGGCTTGCTCGACAATTGAATTTAGCACGTACGAAAAGATATACAATTGATCATCTTTTTGGATCATGAACATTTTTTTTTTGTCTGTTGATTTATCGAATTTAGACAAAAAATTCTAAATTAGGAATATCAACATGAATATGTCTCTTTTGTTATCACTCTTTCTTGAAGATATTCGTATTTTGAGTATAAAATTATAGATCGACAATAATTACATTTTATGATTCACTTTATATATTATCGATATTTAGGCAATAGTAGGTGGCGTTCAAGATTTATTAGCCACTTCATTTCTATAACGTGCAATTAATCTTGTATTATGGTGCAACATATAAGGGACTAATTTGGATTTATACTATATATGTTTTGTTCAATTTAAGTTAGAGATTGTCATTAAGATTTAGATTTAGGGATTTAGCGATAGTTAAGTTTTAAGCTGAGTTTATTTTCTTCTCATTAGTGATAATATATAAAATAATTAAATTAATTACATAAATTTTGAGAGATTTTAAATGTTTAGACGGTTATAATTTCATAAAATATGACTGCGTTTTTAATGTGCATATCCACACAAAATATTGTGCATTTTACCTATCATCATTGTGCATTTTTTAAAGTTTTTATAAATTATAGATTTGACCCATGTATTAAATTGTTATATAGTTGAAGTTTCTAAACTTTGCAAATAAATTCTTGTGATTTATCTTTTTTTTTTAAAAAAAAAACCCTAATCCCAAATTGGAATTGAGCATCGAAGACGAGGGCTGCACCACCACACTTGTTGCACCACGCCGCCGTAATTTATATAATTTTAGTCATTCCGCAAAATACATTATTATATATAATAAGGTGCATTATCTCAGGTATTAATGTGCATCTTGTCATACATTATTGTGCATTACGCATCACAAATATTTTTAATGTGCATCTTGTCATACATTATTGTGCATTACGCATCACAAATATTTTTAATGTGCATATCCGCACACAGTATTGTGCACTTAACTTATCAATATTGTGCATTTATTAAAGTTTTGAAAAATTACATATTTGACCTATAAACTAAATTGCAACTAAATTGCAATATAGGTAAAAATTTTCAAATTGTTGATAAGTCCATATACAATTTTCAAAGAAAGACCCATAGTCCCTAATTAAAGTTTCCCCGCCAGAGAACCCCCAGATCCAAGGCTCGGCTTGATCCTGTTCTCCAGGCTCAATGTGTCCATAGACCGGCAACAACAGTGGGGCCTGCTTGGTGACGCGCTTGATGCTAACGGTGCCATAGAGAAAGTTGGTGAGGGATCGCTGGTAAATTGCAACTAATGCTTATGGAAACCGAATTGCTTTTCTTCAAAGCTGTTGAAATCGCCCTGTCGATCAACTCATGGACAACATCCAATTGATTCACATTGTGTTGGCCTATGATTGTTCTAGTCCATAGATATCATCCCCAACATCTCTACTATAGCTTACAGTCCGAGGCCCTATCTCCTCTTTCGAGTTTCTCCAGGAACCGAAACTTCGAGGGACTTCGAGGGGCTGTACAAAAACGAGATAACCTTAGATGCTAGATACTTAACTATATCAACGAATCCAACATCAATTCACAAAAAGTAAAAAGGAGGTTACACCGTTCAAGGTTCATCATTCATCCACAACCAATTTTATGCCAACGGGAGTGTACAAAACTACAATCATCATAGTAATTATTTGGGCGAACCAATTGCAACAAATAACATGAAATTTCATGCAAGACAGTACTGAAAATTAGCAGGTCATAAAATTTTCTTTTCCCTCAAAGGAGAATAACATAACTAGCAAATTTTGGGTGCACAATATGCAAGTCAAAGCACTGGCATTACAACCTACCCGGTTGGACACTCTACGTCTCGTCTCGTCACACGTCCTTCACCAGGTACTGTTGGACCAACGGTTGCATGATGCTTATAGCCCTCTCGCAAGCACACTAGATATTTCTAAAGGATCGTCTTGTCACGTGCCTTCACCAAAGTGCTATGTCACATCGAAACCAACAGCATAATTCATGTAGAAGTTGACCGCTTCATGTAGTTCCCGAAATTTTTGTCCCTTATTATAAGGTTTGATTGCTCCGTCACATTGTGGGATCCAATATTTTGTTCCACTCAGTGTGATTGAAAGGTGCTGATGTGTAATCAGCGCCCGCTCGTCTTTACGTGTCGCGAGGGAAAACAAAAATAATAATAATTATTAGTAATCCAAACACACCAATTGCACATTTGTGAATATACATTGTACACAATAGGACTGATTGTTGCACATTAGCAAAAGATGAATAATAATTGACTAACTGAAAGTGAAAGTGTTCTGTATAAATTCCATATCAATATCTGCTTGCTATTCAATCAACTCCGTCGTTGGTTCNATAATAAATCAAAGATAAAGAATGATATCATATCAAAACTCCGAGAAATTGGAAATTGATATCTCGATTTTACTTCTATTGCTCACAATCAACAAGAAATTCTAAGAATTTAGCCCAAATTTCATGGGTCTGGTCCCAACATTCCAAGAAAAAAAAAATTGTAAAGTTCCAGTACATCTAAAAAAGTTAAGCTGGAATTCACGGGCATTGATCGCAATACTCAAGAAAAAACGGAAATACGTACCTCGATTTCATGGAGTTTGTTCACAATATTCAGATAAATTGATGGCAACAATCAATAAATCGAAAATTTGAGCTCGAGGTTCATGACGATCGACCACAAAATTCCATTAATTTGATGAGGTGAGGAAATTTGATGTGAGGGAAGTTGAGGCAAGGGTTTCGAGATTTCATCTGCGGGAATGAGCTTGTGGGAATGAGGTGTGGGGTTTTCTTACAGCCAACATTAATTGACGCAGTAGTTACCATTATACCCTCAGTTAATGGCGTGAAATAAATTGGATGTGTTCCCTGTAGCCATCCGATTAATATGATCTTGTGGACACGATTTATTCTCATTTCTTTTATTAAGCACCGTTTCCACTGGATATATATATATTTGTTATACTTTTTTAATATTTACCGGTCCGGTCCGTTTAAACCGGCGACAACCGCAGGTAAACCGTTAACCGGACCGGTTATTCCAGATTTTTAAAAAAATTAACCACCGGATTTTTTAAGGCTTTTTTAACTGACCATTTAACCGATCTGCGGTCCAGATTGACGGTTTTTTCGGTTAAAACCGGACCGTGAACACCCCTAATGCACGAGATTAAATGTACACATTATGAAAAGGTTATGAAAATATATTATCGCCGAACAAACTTGGACAACCTCTTCAACTGAAGTCTTGATTTTGTACATAAATCTATTAATTAGAAACGAGATTGATTTTCTTAAAATTTTTGAATTGCCAAAAATACCATACATTATACATTATATAAAATATTTAATGTTACTAATGCAGGTTTGTTAATCTATATCTATACCTATATATATATATAATTGTAGGCTATCCAATTAATGTGGATAACCTACTTTTTCCGCCTATTTTTTTAAGTTATTTTTAGTATGTTTTCACCTATCATTTTATTTGTGTTTTTGTAATTAATATTCTAATATTTAATAAAAGTTGTAACGATCATGTCTTAAAAATTAATATAATTGCATTTTTTGTTAATTTAGAAAGTAAAATTATATTTTTTATGTACCTCTTACAATATTGTATATATATCTTTTTTTCCGATTTTACATTTATTTGACATTTGAATTTTAAATTAGTCAAGCTTATTTTTAAATATTTTAATTCGGGCAATAGAATTAATTTTTAAAGCAATTATTTGAAGTAAAGTAATATATAATTTTTGAATTTTCCTTAGGAAATAAATTTATAAAAATAAAACATATCAATTATTTTGTCTTTTCATTTGATGTAAATTAATATTAGTTTTTATCACTTATGTTATTTTTTATCAACTCTTATTCTAAATTATTTTTTAAGTGTTTTAAAATACATTAAATTTTGTACATTGGTCTATAACTGAGGTGCAGTGGTTCTTTATTTTTTCTACATATTTTTGCAAAAAAAAAATAAAAAAAATTCTTATTAATATGTAATAAGTGATTGTGATATTTATTAATGATCAAATATTGTTATAATAAAATAATACCAATATAAGTATTTGATTATAAGTGAAAAATTATCATGACATAACCTAAATGTACATGTATTTTATTGTATAATTTGTTATGCAATTCTCGGAAAAACGATCAATTTATGTGGTATATAAGATTTACATTGTTCATTTAAAATTTATTATTTTACTTTGGTAATACCTTATGTTTATTGTTATATGTTCAAATTGTATAAAAATTAGGTTATTTATCATATCATGTAATAATAGTCATAAATATATGGTAAATTCTACATTTCTATTGTTATTTTTTTTTTATCAAAGTATAAAAATCCAACTAAGAGTGTTTATGTAATTTGATTATAAATGTGATACATACTATTAAGTAAAATGTTATTTTAATTATGATTTTTATATATAATATTTATTTATTTTTCGTAATCTGTGCATGTGAACAGGATTAATACTAGTAGTGCTAAGTAATTACAACGATTATTTATGGTTTTTAAAACTCCAATTTTTAAGTAACTCTTCTTTATTTTTGTTATTCTTTACATTCTATCTTTAAATCAGTGTTCTAAAAGTCGCTAGGCGCCCGCTAGGCGCTCGACCAGCGCCTAGCGTTTAGAGCGCCTAGGCGGGGCCTAAAAATTAATATTAAATACCTTATTTTTTATTTATTTTAACTACCTGCAAAATAAAACTGTCTCAACTTATAATAAATCCATACACCTAAGTCCAAATAATAATATTAATATATTTTAAAGAAAACATGAGAACAAAATAATGTAATTAGTATTTAAAAAAAAAAAAACTGAAAATTTGCCGCCGAGCCCGCCTAGGAGCGCCTAGATCCGCCTATGCCCGCCTAGGCGCCGCCTAACCGTCTGGCTGCCGAGCCCGCCTAGGAGCGCCTAGGGTCGTCTAGGCCCACCTAGGCGCCGCCGAGCGGCCTGACCGATTTTTTCTGCCGATTTCTGCAAATCAGAGGCCCCCAGGCACCGCCTAGCGCCTAGGCCGATTTTTAGAATAGTGCTTTAATTTTAGCTTCATTAACTTTTATTAAATAATATATTCAAGAATTAATTTTTGGAGTTTTATACATAACACATACCATTAATATAATTGTGAAAATATATATTTAAATTTAAAATTGATAAATACAAAATTAATACAATTTAATCCCATTTGTAAATATTTGAACAATTTTATTTTTCTTATGATGTATGATTTAGAAAAATTTGGATGAAAGATATATTTCTTGTGCATATTTGGTATATCTGAGAGGAGCACTAACAGTAGTGTCCTAAACTAAAAAACGAGGAAGAGGAGTTTAAAATTCCGGCAACTACGAGAGCACTGAACCAGAAGCTGGACTCTAAAACCCTTCACATAAAAGAGAACTAAAAAGCCACCAAAAGAGAGAATGCCTACTCTAATAAGTGGAGAACCGAACACTAACTAAACTAAACACACACCTACCTAGCTAAGAATACTATACTACCTCCCCTAAATCAAACGAGCAATTCTGGTGTATTTAATTTAAATTTTTTAATACTTATTAAAGTTATAAGGTATTCATTTAGATGAACTACATAATATATATAGTGTAAAAAAATAATATTGATTTTATAGTTCGGTTAATTTGGATATTTTGGTTATTTAAAAAAAAGAAGCGAAATTTAACCAAAATAACAAAATTTAAATGTGAAAAATCGATAAATACGAGAAATTTAATTTTTTCATGTAGGGCTATTGAGCTACGCTAAACTGCGGCATATATTATTGTGCATATTGTCTAGTACTATTATGCATTATACATAGCATACATTTTTAATATGCATATAAATAAGCAATAATGTGCAATTTTCTTACTACTAGCCTATTAATGGGCATTTATCACATTTTCTGTAAATTACATATTCAACCTTTGTACTAAATTGTAATATAATCAAAACTACATAAATTAAATATAGATCCCTTAAAATATTCTAATTTACAAAATGAAGCCCTTGGGATAAAAAGCAAAAAATAAAAACAGGCGCGATTTAAGCCACTCTCCGCTGTCCTGACCACAGGAGAGTCTCCGACCAACACAATCACAATCAACCCCCATTCTAGCCGTCACAATCCCTTATAAGAAACGGCATCCGCCATGGCCATGGACGAGTTGATCGGAGCTTTCACATACGACCACCGTGACTGATCATCTTTCGTCCGCCTGACCACCGGGGGGCTTCTTTAGACACCAGAAGAACTCGTTTTTGTTGCCCAGATATCGCATATCAAGCCGCTGTGCACAGGAATGTAAAGCTTGTGTATCAATGCCAGATTTCGATCGAGAGATTGTCTCTTTGTGTTCCTCGCCGAAAATTGATCACGTGGATCGGCAAAAGATGTTGTTGTCCCCGTCGAGAGCGGCGGCGAGTGGTTGTGCGGCCGCCGACAGACACTCGTCGGGCTCTCAGATGTGGATGCTAGACGGAGGCTACTGCTTTTCAGTCGTCGGGCGAACGAGGCTTTCACAACCTCCAAAAATGAGGGGTTGATAATTGGAAATTTGATGAGTTAAAAAGATCTATAGGCAATGTTATAAATTTAATTATATTTCAATTTAGTACATGGGCTAAATCTGTAATTTATAACAACTTTATAAAAAATATTATTATTTATATATTTTTATACATATATTAAAATAATATAAAAATCTTAAAATATTATAAAATAATATAGAATAATAAATAATTAATAATTTTTTTTATAATAAATGTACATAAAAATAATATTAAACTATTGAAATATTTTAAAATAATATAGAATAATCAATAAAATAATGAATTATTAAATAATTTTTATAATAAAATCACTAAATTATTCCAATTTTTATGTTAATTTTATTAAACAATCAAATAAAATAATTATTTCGGTTTAGTTTTAGTTTTGATTTGCACAAAAAATAAAAAAAAATGCACGTTGCATAAAGCACATTATTGTTAAACAAGTTGTACCTTAATGACTATCGGACTGCACAATAACGTTATATCTAATGCACATTAACACTATTGAGAATGCACATAAAAAAGTAGCAGAATGTATATTCTATCTATCTATCTATACTATTATAAAAGGACGAGTGATTTTGTAAAAATAATGATTTACCTAAAAAATCCTTACTTTGACATATTTTTAATGACAAATTAGTAATACTGTAATATCTATCTTGTTTTATATTTTTAATTAACAAATGAACTATCTAAAAAACTCTTACTTTGACTTATTTTTAATGATAAATTAGTAATGCATTAATACTCATCATATCTTATATTTTTAATCAATAATTAATATTTAGTTAAATAAATATAGATACATGAACAAAATATTCTAGATCTCTTAAAAATCAACCTCAATATTCTCATACCATTACTACTCACAAATTTGTTTCTTTCACATATCTATCAAAATGCTTCGTTCATATCTCCAAAAAATTAACTAATACAACAAAGCTTTGAAAAGATACATAATTCATATTTTGAAAAACAATTTATTTTTAATATAAAATTGTAATTACTTTAATTAATAAAAAAACTACTACATGAAATTAAGTTTTAAAAAAATTGCTATATTGCAATAAAAAATACAACGCCAGACATTCCACTGAAAATCGCAACGAATATTCATTGGTATAGCGAATATATACATAATCTAACAAACTAAAAAAGTGGATCAATTCATTTAGCTACTTCCTATTAAGAAAAATTCACTCTTCGCTCACATCCAAACATCTGATTGGGGAACGGGCATTTAGAAATTGCACATTTTATTCATTTAATTGAATTTTTATCCTACAAAAAATACACTCAAATAATAGTTATTTTTATTATTTAATATTATGAAATTTATCTCAATTGAAAAATTAATTAAAAAACATAAGATAAACGTGTGGTATATTACATATAAAAGGATAAGAAATAAAATATTTTTCTTACATAGATTTGAAATATAAAAGGATAACAAATAACATATCTTATGTTATTTTATACTTAAATAAATATTATTAAGTATAAAATAACATAAGATAAACGTGTGGTATATTTTTCTTACATAGATTTAAAATATTTATACTACAAAAATAATAAAAAAATAAATGTAGACTTACAACTATTGTCAATTTTAATTATGTGAATTAAAAAGAGAAATAAATGAGTAGTATGCTAAACTATTATTCAATACTTTTTGAAAGGGAACATCATAATCTTTGCAACATATACTTTCAATGAATATAATATGAAAATGAGTTAGTTACATAATGTTTCATCAAACATTGAAAAAAAATGTAAACTTTTTAATCTTATAAACAATATAAAAGTACAATTTTATAAAATATATATTATTATAAATAAATAAATAAGTAATATTAAATTATATTTATCGCATGTGATTATAGTTGTAGCCTAATAAATAAGATACTTTGATAACAACATAATTATATAAAATGCATAAAAAAATTAAACAATACATATAAATATGCCAAAATTCTTTTAACAAATAAAATATTATTTGTGAATACAATAAGAAACAAATAAAACAATAGTAAGAGAATGAGGAAAAAGAAGTCTGATTTTTTTTAGAGAAATACGAATATCAACATCTAGAAACAAAAGTCTTTTCTAATTACTACATTTTTGTTACTGGCGTTTAAATACTCATAAATATTGATCCTATATTATAAATTTTGAATTTTTAAATAATTAAAAAAATAAAAAACTTTGTAATACATAATGTATATTTGTATAATGACTTTGTGATAATAAAGTTCACAAATGGTGAAGAATATTATAATATAATAGATTTTTAATTTTTCTCCTCTCTAAGATTTTAACAAAGGATATGTTTCTCAATATTATCTCATTGTTTTTTCTTTCATTGTTAAAGAATCAAGAAAAGATATTTATCATAAATTTTCGAAACATTATGATTGATGCAAAAATTTGGACAATAAATGCGTCAGAAATCATTGGAACAACCAAGATGCTCAATGATTTGCAAACAACATATTATATAGTTCGTCTATCTTCTAAATAAATAACATTGAAAAGGAAATGTCGGGGCATGATCAAAATGTTATTGAATTTTTAAATAAAGTTATCATATTTTGATAGAAATATTTACAATTCTCATTGGTGTATTGTGCTCGAATATATGTGGAATTACTCTAGAGTATATACTTTCATGGAATGTATGATGATTTCAAAAAATAATTTAGTTTTCATGTAATGTGTGATGATTTTAAAAAATAATTTAGCGTCTCGGGAGAAGTATATGTAACCAAAATTTTGAAAGTCAACTTTTATTTGGAAATGAAACTCATTCTCACCTCGTGGGGCGATGCCTCCATGTGGGAGGTGTCAATTTGTCTATATGGAGAGAGAACAATGAAGTAGTTTAAAAAAAAATATATCAACAATTTTAATGACACGGTTGATACTGAGATATTCATTAATTGTTATTAATAATACCTTATAAAGATCATAACCATAGAGTTTGACTATATATTTAGACAAAATATTTTGCATTGTTTGAATAAAGTAGACTTTTTGTCTAATGAATTAAGAAGAATTTGTCTATTGATGTATAGAACTCGAATGGGTACATATGTTTTTTTATGAGAACGTCTCCAAACTAAAATGAAAGAAAATTACTCTTGAATCGTCAAACATTAATAAATAAAAGAACTAATGCATTTATATTATAAATTATGTCTTTATTTTGTTATTTAGTGTCTTTTAAAAAAAAATTATTGACTCATTTTGCATATATTTTTGTTGGAGTTGTAATATGTTATTTTATTCTGTTTACATTAGTACATCGTTATGTTATTTTGAAAAAACAAATACACTAGGACCTCATTTGTTCTACATTTTATTTTGTTCTTGCAATGATATGTTTAATAAATTAATTAATTTATTTTACTAAATTTAATCGGCAAAAAACATTCGCCGCCACGTGCGATGCACGTGCACTTTACTAGTATTGAAAAAGTTACCAAGAAGAGTTTAAGTTTTTCAAATTAAGAATGATGACATCTATTTTTAATTCTATAATTATTTTTTTGAAATATTATTTGTATATAGATATATATATTTTATTATAACCAAAAGTTGGATAAATATTTAATTACTATTGTTAAAAGTTACTTGTAGAAAGAGACATCTTTACATAATTACATGTTACAATAAATCAAAAGTATATGTGGAAAAGTATTTTTAGCAATGATTTTGTAAGTGACGGTTCAAAGGCTTATAGGTCTGAAATTTGTGATTTTTGGTGCATTTTTGGAATGAGGGTTATAACTGTGTGGATAGTGAATTTAGGGATTCTGCCAGAAATAAAGAAATTTTGAACAGCAGCACACAGTTCATGTTTCACAAAGACCAAGACTTTTGAAAAACGATAGTACAATTGTTTCTTTTCTCCATTATCATCTCACATCATGTGCATAAGAAAAAAAGTTGAGCTCATTAGAACATTCAAAATTATATTATTTATACTATAATGGTTTCTGTTTGTGGTACTTCATTGAAAGACACACAAACTACTTAGAAAGTTTCTAAATGATCTAGTCCATGTCGTAATTTAGGATAATTTCTCATATTATATTTAATCATCAGTGTTGGAGTTTACTGTATTTGCGCATTTAATTACCACTTTAGCATGGGTTTCATTCCAACATTTTCAAGTGCCATTGGCCACAAAATAAAAATACAAAGTAAAAACAAAAAATAAAAATAAAATAAATTATCAAATAGAGATGAAGAAAAGTAGCAAAATATACTTTTTATTTACGTACCCACAATTTTATATCTTTGATCTATACAAAGAGCTAACTTGCAGGCATGTTGGAAATAAAACAAATCTCCCCTTGCAGTCAAAGGTGAGATGATGAGCGCATTTGGAATGCACTGGAACCAGTGATTAACACATATTTTGGCGGAACCCTAATTTGTTGCGGCCAACATCGTACACGACCTCGAATGTTCTCTGCTGAGTAATTCCAAAAGTAGGAAAATTGTCATTGTCGATGAAAGCAAGACACATTAGAGATTTGTTGTAATATATAATTGTTCCGGAAAAATCCAAATCGATTTTCACGTCATTCTGAAAGGTGAATGACACAATTGGGACAACATTTTTGCCATGAGGAACAAAACAATATTCGAGGCCTAAGCCATCATATGGCGGGTATGCGTTGAAGTATCCATAATCATTGAGCATAAAATAGTTGAATGTTCTTGCCAACACTTTGTATGCATAATACGGGAGTTGGGTGATGGTTGTGCTGGAGTCTATGAAGGTGTTGCCAGGTCCCCCAAAATCCTTTGGCTTTAAATCTAACTTGCGTCCGTCCACGGCTATGGCAATTATGGTGATGAAATAATTATATGGGTAATCTGATATATAAATCAAAGGGGTGAATTTTGTGGTACAATCGTAATCTTTTCCGAGTGCGAGGAAGCCCTTGGAGGATGATTTGGCAGGGATGCAGTAGGAGAAACATTGATGAAATGTATTAGCAGTTTGGACAACTATGGACGTGTTGGATCTGCCGAGCCCCAAGACTCCATCTTCAAGTCCAAAAGTGCCCTGAGCAGAATGGGTACAGCCGAACTTGAAAGCAGCGAATGCAATGTTTGGTGCAATTGTAAGCGTGTCCTTGCTGAAGTCGCCACTGATATTGTTGGAAACGTAGTCTTTGAGATGGTAGACGCAGTTGCCGGTTTTGGAGCAGGTGGGGCCAGAAGTGGTGTAGAAATCCACGATAGAGCATTGAGTGGAGCTGCAGGGGATGGGGGAGTAGGAAGTGGATTTGGAGGGGTCGAATAATGGGCCATTCTGTCTATGGCACATCTTATGGGGGCACGGTTTGCATTGAATCCACGTCAGGTCGTAGCTGGTCTCCAAAACGAGGGACAACTTTTTTTGTGGCGTGCCGAAGCCCATGGTGACGATGTGGTGGCTGTAATATTGGAATTCGCCCGTGGAATCGGGAGGGCTGAGAGAAGTGCGAGCAACATCGTGGGTCGTCGGTTTTCTTGGATTCATGAGCTGCTGCTCGTAAGGCGCACATGGACCGTGCCTGTTGACGAGTTCCAATACTACTAATGATGAGTGCCTATTCTTCATACCTGCACATTCATTGTACAATTTTCTTGCGTATTATAAACTTTTATTGAATATTGCATCTTATAATATAATATTCTCCAAATAATCCCGTACATTTTTCTTTATTCATGTATATAATTATAAGCCTGGATAAATAGACTTAAAATTGTGCATCCCGTGCATCGCACTGGCTCTGTACTAGTATACTTCTAAAGAGGCCCTAAAAATACTAATTACTAGGAATTTATGGCAGTTCTCATGTAGAAATGCCTTGCTTGCAGATAATTAATAATCGCATCAAATGCCTCACTTAAAGTGCTTTCTATAACACGAAGCATCATAAAAGCATACAGTTACTTCCTTAATTAAAAAAAAATTAACAACTATCCTAAATTTATTTTGAGATCATTCTATATTAATTACACTACTTCTACAAACATAATTTCTAGTACACAATAAATAACTTAAAATAAAGAAAATATAATACCAGGAGGGATAGTTGAACTGCACACATTAGCCGAGAGCTCGGAGGTGATATCCACGGTATGAAACTGAGTTTGTGAAGCTCGACTTTCATTTGGAGAACTTGAAAATAACATTAATAAAATAGACGAGTAAAATAGAATCTGGAATGAGGACAAAATAAAATATTGTAGAGCCGCCATATTACTAAAACCAGTAGATCAATTTTCTTTTGCCAATGGATGAGTTTTGCGTTCGATATATTGGGCTTATATAGAAGTATTTTGATGCTATACTGTGTACATCGTTGAACAAGTTGACAACATGAGTCAACTTTTCAAATTAAGAATGATGACATCAATTTTTAATATATATATATATATTTTTTTTTGTTGAAATGTTAATTGTATATAGATATATATATTTTATTATAACCAAAAGTTGGACATATATTTAATTACTATTGTTAAAAGTTACTAGTATAAAAATATAAAAATATTTCAATGCCATACTGTGTATATTATTGAAAAAGTTACCAACAAGAGTCAAGTTTTTCAAATTAAGAATGATGGCATCAATTTTTAATTATATATTTTATTATAAGGAAAAGTTGGACACATATTTAATTACTATTGTTAAAAGTTGCTAGTATAAATATATAAAAATATTTCGATGCCATACTGTGTATATTATTGCAAAAGTTACCTACACGAGTCAAGGTTTTCAAATTAAGAATGATGGCATCTATTTTTAATTGTAATTTCTTTTTGGAATGTTATTTGTATATATATATATATATATGTATATATATATGTTATTATAACCAAAAGTTGGATAGATACTTAATTACTATTGTTAAATGTTACTAGCAGAAAGAGACATCTTTACATAATTGCATGTTATAATAAATTAAAAGTATATATGGAAAAAGTATTTTTAGCTCATAATATAGTTCCCCGATATAATTAGAATATTGTTTAACGTGTTTGTTGAGTGTGGAAAAATTATAATTCAAAATTTCAATCATTTCATGTTTTGAGTGACATATGAACTTGTGCAAATAATATTTTTCCTAACGATCACAATGTCAAAGGAGAAGCCAGGCCTAACATGCCACTAGTTTTGATCTCACCAATTCAGTTTCCAAACTATATTCAAGAAACTCAGATTTACTAATTTGGATAATTTTTTTGGCCATATTTTGAAAAACCTCGCCTAAATTAATGTACAAAATTATTTTACTCAAATATTGTGGCTATTATCTTTATTAGTTACATAACTTAAATTTGGTATATAATATATTGACAACACGTGCGGCTATTACCTTTATTAGTTGCATGGTTTAAATTTGGTATATATTATATTGAAAAATAATAAAAAGTTTTTTATTTAAAATTAAAAATCAAAAAATAATTAGTCATAACTTACGGGTCAATATTAACTTGGATGTAAACGAAATAGTCAATTATTTATAGTTTAAAAATTACTCAATAACTTACGAGTCAATGTTAACTTGACGAAATAGTCAATTATTTATAGTTTAATAAATTACTTGACTACTTAATTTTTTTTGATTTGTATAGTTTATACAAAAATAAATTTATAATAATTAATAACACAATATAAATTTGATATTTATACTTATTATTCACATAAGTTGTTAAATATATGATAAATTTTTACCAAAATAACTATTTTATGGAATCATATTATAGTCAAATCGAATTTCTGAATAAAATTTTTGAAATGACACCTATTTTGAAATTAATATAATGTAATTTATTATCAGTTATGTGCACCGCACGGGTGTATAATAATTTTATGTAGACATTTTTATGTAATTTTACACAATTTAAAATTTATATAACATTTTCAATAAATTAATATAGGTAAATTGTATTACATATTGATTTCATATTTTTAATTTATAAAAATAATTTAATAAAAATTTTTAATTTACAAATATTAATTAATGTCTCTCACCCGTGCACTGCATGTGATTCATACTAGTAGACCAGTAAAATCAAATTTGGAATGAGGACAAAATAAAACATTGTAGTGCTACCATATGACTAAAACCAGTAGTTCGATTTTTTTCTGCCAATGGATGAGTTCTGCGTTCGGTATATTGGGTTTATATAGAAGTATTTCGATGCTAAACTGTGTACATAGTTGAAAAAGTTGACAACATGAGTCAACTTTTCAAATTAAGAATGATGACATCAATTTTTAATTATATATGTATATATATTGTTGAAATGTTATTTGTATATAGATAGATATATTTTATTATAAGCAAAAGTTGGACATATATTTAATTACTATTGTTAAAAGTTACCAGCATAAATATATAAAAATATTTCGATGCCAGTGTATATATTATTGAAAGAGTTGCCAACAAGAGTCAAGTTTTTCAAATTAAGAATGATGACATCAATTTTTAATTATATATATATATATATATATATATATATNGGCCATATCTGAGAGATGTGGACTGGAGCGGGAGGTGTGGAGTTTGGGTCGGAAGTGGGATTGAGGATTTGGGTGGAGGAAAGGGGTAGGATTAGGCCCATTATTAAATGGTTGGGCCTTATCAGGAGCGGCCCGCATGATTAAGGGGTTGGGTAGAAAAATGGATCGTGGGCCTTTTGTCGTCACGTGGCTTTGGTTTAGGATTTGAGCATCTTTATCCAAGTGGTCGCCGACAGCCGATTTTGGGATGCTGCAACTTTTGACCAACGTGTTTTCCGGAGCTGTCGGTAGGGATGTGACGCCAATCCGGGTACCGTCTCCAATATGGGCCTGACCCGATTTTGAGTTGCTGCAAATCTTGACCTGCGTGTTTTCCGGAGCTGTCGGTAGGGACATGATGTTCGAAGGTTCGCCGATCGTGGTGGACGGAGTTCCACGTGTCGCAGCCGATTGAGGTGCGGCCTGACCTTCCGCCATGAACGTCGATGAGGTCCGGTCGGAGGGCTGTGACTCTTTATTGATTTTATTTTTTGAATTTTTTCCATTTGTCCTGTGATTTGTTAGCTGAGACTCGGGTAGGCGATGGTGGCCGGTCATAGGCGGAATTTCTCCTTCTTCCAGTGGAGATTTTTTGCTCAAATAATCCGAGACAATATGTTGAAAATCTGGACATTGAAATAATTTAAGGAGTGTCGGTGGAAGGCCGTTTGTATTAAGATTGTGAGGGGGATGAGATGGTTCCATAGAGCTGAACGGGAAGGAAAAAATGGAAGAAAAGGTCCCGGCGGCCCTAGGGCCAGGCCGCCGGCGGCGGCGACTGGGTAAAGGCTAGGTGGTGGAGGTGATGATGGCGGATGTGAGGTGGTGGGTAGTGGCGAAAGGTGAAAATCTTAGAGAGAGAAATCTAGAGAGAAGGAGGAGCATTTTTTCTTTCTTGCTGCTAGGTTAGTTGTCTTTTATTGTTAGGTTATGTTATTTCTTTTCGCTGGTAGGTTAGTTGTCTTTTATTGCTAGGTTATTTCTGTTTTGTTGCTAGGTTAGTTGTCTTTGTTGCTAGTTTAGTTGTTCTTTCTTGCTGCTAGGTTAGTTGTGTTTTGTTGCTAGGTTAGTTGTCTGATAATTGCTAAGTTAGTTGTGTTTTGTTGCTAGGTTAGTTGTAGTTTAGTTGTTCTTTCTTGCTGCTAGGTTAGTTGTGTTTTGTTGCTAGGTTAGTTGTCTGATGCTGCTAAGTTAGTTGTGTTTTTGTTGCTAGGTTAGTTGTCTGATGTTGCTAAGTTAGTTGTATTTTTTTTTTTATAAAAAAATTGTAGCCCATAGGATTTGAACCTGGTACCTCATGGACGCAAGACAAGCAATGCAACCACTACACCACTCAAGGTTGAGTGTCTTTTGTTGCTAGGTTATTTATTTCAATACAACGGGTCAACGTCGGAAGTCAACGGTCAACGCCGGAAGTCAACGGTCAACGCCGAAATTCAACGATTCTCGCCGGAAGTCAACGTCGGAAGTCAACGGTCAACGCCGGAGTCAACGGTCAACTATTTTATTATTTAATTAATGTATATTTTAATTGATTTTGATCTAGACAAAATGAGTGGCTAAGATTGAGTCTCACGTACTCATTTTAAGGAGTGGTCTCATTGGATCCATCCCCTGTATATATATATTATTATAAGCAAAAGTTGGGCACATATTTAATTATTATTGTTAAAAGTTACTAGTATAAATATATAAACACATTTCGATGCCATACTGTGTATATTATTGAAAAAGTTACCAACAAGAGTCAAGTTTTTCAAATTAAGAATGATATCTATTTTTAATTGTAATTTTTTTTTTGAAATGTTATTTGCACATATATATATATATATATTTTATTATAACCCAAAGTTGGATAAATATTTAATTACTATTCTTAAAAGTTACTAGTAGAAAGTCACATCTTTACATAATTGCATGTTATAATAAATTAAAAGTCTATATGGAAAAAGTACTTTTAGCTCATAATATAGTTCCCCTATATAATTAGAATATTGTTTAACGTGCTTGTTGAGTGTGGAAAAAACATAATTCAAAATTTGAAATATTTCGTGTATTGATTGATATATGAACTCATGTAAATAATATTTTTCCCAACGATCACAATGTCAATGGAGAAACCAGGACTAACATGCCACTAGTTTTGATACCACCAGTTCAGTTTCCAAACTGTTCAAGAAACTCATATTTACTAATTTGGGTAATTTTTTTTGGCCAAATTTTGAAAAACACCGGCTAAACTAATGTACAGAATTATGTTGGTCAAGTATTGTGACTATTACATTTATTTGTTGCATGATTTAAATTTGGTATATAATATATTGACTAAACTTGCGGCTTTTACCTTTATTAGTGGCATGGTTTTAATTTGGTATATAATATATTGAAAAAAAATAAAAAGATTTTTATTTAAAATTCAAAATAAAAAAAATAATTATTCATAACTTACAGGTCAATATTAACTTGGACATAAACGAAATAGTCAATTATTTATAGTTTAAAAAATACTCAATAACTTACAGGTCAATGTTAACTTGACGAAATAGTCAATTATTTATAGTTTAATAAATTACTCGACTACTTAATTTTTAATAAAATAATATAAACTAATATTTATACTTATTATTCTCATAGGATGTTGAATAATTGAAAAAGTTTTACCAAAATAACTATTTTATGGAATCACATTATTGTCAAATCAATAGTATATAAGAAAAAGAATATATATTTTTAAAAATTGGATAGTTTTTTGATTTACATAGATACTTCTAAGGTGAAATTTATAACTCTGAGTTGCACCCGACCATCAAATTTTATTTTTATTAGTATATTACTTCAATTTTCAATAATATTATCACTGCATATAGATATATTAAGTGGGGATTACCTTTTTATAGTTAAATTGACTACATTTTAGGAACTTTTTTAATATTTTAAATAATTTATTAAGTTATTATGATTTGACATAGTTATTCTGATTACTTTATTAAATACTTTAAGTACTGCTGAATAGTGAATATAATTAATTTAATTAATACCTACAACCATAGATGATAATATATTTAATCAGCTTATTTTCCATAATAATTTTTTGAACTGTGTCAATAAATTACTATTCCCTTGACCGTCCTCTCAATGCTCCTCTTCTCCATGGGAGCCCAGTCAGCGTGCGGAGCCACCTACGGCATCGTCCCCTTCGTCTCCCGCCGGGCACTGGGCCTCATTTCGGGCCTCACAGGTGCCGGTGGCAACTTTGGTGGCGGGCTGACCCAGCTTCTGTTCTTCTCGTCCGCCAGCTCAACGACTGCCGACGGGCTGTCGTACATGGGGATTATGACTGTGGCGTGCACGCTGCCGGTGGTGCTCATCCACTTCCCGCAGTGGGGGAGCATGTTTTTGCCAGCTGGGGAGTGTACGAAGGAGAATTACTATGAGGCCGAGTGGAGTGAGGAAGAGAAGGAAAGGGTGCTGCACCAAGGGAGCCTTAAGTTCGCTGAGAACAGTAGGGTCGAGAGGGGTAAGGGGTGTTAGTGTTATATATTGAAAGCTTGGCTTTGCATGTTATTACACATTTACCCTTTATGAATGAGAATCATGTTAGATTAAACAAGTTCTACGTTCTGTTGTTCTGCACTTAGATAGGGTGGGTCGTCATCGGGCGAACCGAAGATCACTCTATTAGTTACTTGCGAACAAGAATAGTTGTTCACAACCTAGATGGACATGAACACCCCATCCGCACGGTTGTAGTGTCAACTGTACAGTTTGTCTTGACTGATTAGTTGCACTAGTACATTTATGTATTGAACAGGATCCCAGAGAGGAGAAGTTCATTTTATACTGATCGTCGTAAATGAACTAGGCCTCGGTTAAACAGGCAGATATATATAATATATATTACTTTGATTCACATGGGTGAGGTTCAGTTCGCTGGATTAATATTCCTACTGTTTTGGGTAATATTATTATATATAGGATGTGCTGTTAGGATATTTACGGTCACCATGTGCGTCAGTTTGATGATGTCCCCGGAGTGAGTTCATGAAGAATTGTTATGCTAAACCCTGCAGGTGGATTAAGTTCCGGCATAATAAGAATGTGATGAACGAGCGCTAGCTTCGGTGAAATAATAATAAATTAATTAATTCTTGATTGTCAGTAATCGAATTAATTAATGGACATTATATCTTAAACGTGGGGAGGTAAATCGAGTAATTATTATTGGAGTCTCAAATGTAATTTGGGATACGAAGAGGGAGTGCAATAATATAATGTTGGTGGCCCATTAATATTATTTAATTAATTAGAGGAGTGGGCTTGGCCCACAGTTAGTCTAATTAATTAAGGAGCCTTTTTCCTAATCTCCTTAGGGTCCCTACTGTAGCTCTATATATACATCATTAAGTTCATGAGAAGGGAACATAGTTCACATCTCACGTGAAACACGCCTCTCTCTCTAGATCTCATTCGAGCTTTATCTTCTTCTTGTTGCTCCTACTGTAGCTCTATATATACATCATTAAGCTCATGAGAAGGGAACATAGTTCACATCTCACGTGAAACACGCCTCTCTCTCTAGATCTCATTCGAGCTTTATCTTCTTCTTGTTGCTCCACTGGTACAAGTTGAAGAAGGGTGTATTGAGTAATACAGTAGAAGATCTGTAGGTAAACCGAGACGAAATATATTTTGACCTACAGAACTAACCGGAAGTCCGATTGTGACGTACAGCATACCCAGACGACCGTCTCGACGAGAGCTTTCCATCGCCGCCAACGTCGCTGGAATCCGACGCCGCACGCGCCCGCACGCGCCGCTGAAAGGAGCCTGACTGCAAAAATTCGTTTTGATCTGTTTGCATCCGTTTGATCCGATTTTGATCTGATCTTGTTCGTGCAACCCAAGACGTGATTTGCTGTCAATCAATTGCGGTCAACCGTTCGTGGTCAACCAGATCTACATAAATTTTAAGCCGTAAGTTCTCTACGTCAAACCTTTAGATCCGCTGCGCATAGGTTTACGTTTGCTATTGAATTCGTGATTTGTACATAACGAGATCCTCACAGATCCCAAGGGGATGGGGAGGAGGGTGGCCGCGGTCACCGGGACAACGCCGGGATATGGGTCTACCCCAGTCTATGTTTAGTGTTGTTTTGTTCAAAATACTACACATATACCATCCAAAAATAAATAATTGTGTATGTACCTAAAAGATGACATTAAATTAAACTAATGCCTAAAATCTGTTACTTTTCATGGGCGTGATTCCTGTTCGTTTCAATTAAAAAAAATAAATAAATAAATCTTGCAGTCCGATCTTTATCTTCTGCCGCCATGGATGCCCCCCACCCCGCCTCCGATTCATTTCTCCTCAACACTGTCGCGCACCTCCACGACCTCCGTAGGGACGGCGAGAAATCAGTAAATGAATTGGTGGCTAGGATTTACCTCCCTCGACTGAAGTTTCGTTGTCCGATCAACGACGGATGTGATGATGAGGTCGTCGTTGGCGATGGTAGTTTGCGTCGGCCATTTTGAGGTGGCAATTGGATAGAAGAACGCACTGAAATCAATCAGGTCGAGCATGCGTGAGAAGCAAAAATTGGGAGAAAATTACAAAATCGCAGTATACATATCACAGTAGACTATATATATATATATATATATATATATGTATTTGACATATACTGTACATATTGTGATAATATACTGTAGATATACCAAAACACAACACAAATGAATGAGGCGCAATCAATCTTTTTTTCTTAAGAAAAGTTACGCAAATATACCACAAAAAAAAGTTGACATGTCGATTATTTGTTTATGCTTTTTTTTTATTGATTTTAACGTTCAATAAAACGTACATGAATTTATTGTTTTTTAACGCAAAATATACCCAAAAAGAGGACGCATATTCTGATATCACAATCGATTGTATATATAATTGACATATACTGTACATATACTGATCATATACTGTACATATAGCACAACACAACATGTGTCAGATCTTGAACTCACCCCGGCAGCCTGGTATTTCGGCAAAACGAGCATATGTCGGAGCCCGACTTGCGTGATGGTATCTCCTAACTGCGCGAACACCATTTTTGCTGATCTCTGGTGATTCCAACAGGATAGTTTAGGGTTCAAATTAGGGTTCCAATTTTCTTGTTCGGTCGCTGGAGGAGAGAGGGGCACGTGCGTTGCCATATACAGTCTGGTGCTTTGGAGAAGAGAGAAAAAGAGAGAGGGAAGAGGATGAGAGCGAGAGAGATGGTGAACGTGAGCATTGTTTATTATGTTTTTGTGCTTCTTTTTGTGTGTTTCTTGTGCGTAGTTGAGTCGGTTTTAGGATTGTTTTAGCGTTGACCGGTCCATTTTATTGTTTTTCGTGTATTTTCGTGTCTTCCTTTTATTTTGTGTCCTTGGCATATTTTTCAGTGTGTGTTGGTATTATTTTCAGGTTTATTTCGAGGAGGACGAGAAGAATCGAATCAAACCCCGAGAGGCGAGAATTTTCAAATATTCCGAGTCAGTTTCGAGAAGTCCCGAACCATTGAGCTAGTCTATTCTGAAGATTTCGAGTTAAAATCGATCAAAAGTCTCCAAAGATACTATACTCGCAGTCCGCGCCCGCGAACCTCACCGCGACATCGAGAGGAGCCCACTTCTCGTGCCTTCACCCGTGTCCGCGCGCTCAAAACCGCTCGCGACGTCGAGAGTACCAGCCGTCCGCGCTCGCGAAATCCGCCGCCAGGTCGAGAGTCCGCGCCCGCGCCTCGCGAAGATAGCCGCGACATCGAGAGTAGTTCGTTGCCCCGCGCCACCTCGTGCCAGGCCCGTGCCTTTCCCAGTCCGCGCCGCGCGAATTCTTCCGCGAGCTCGAGAGTAGTACTCCATTGCCGCCCCGCGCCCGCGAACTTACCCGCGATATCGAGAGTAGTGTGTTCCCTCGCGCCAATCCCGTGCATTCCTCGAGACAGACCGCGCCATCCCGCGCCCCGCGACCCGCGGAAGTACCGGCGAGCTCGAGAGTGTGTCATTTAATCTGCGTGTTTCTACTGTGTGTTTTTGGAGCGGGACTATATATATGTTTTGGCCCTTTGTAATTGAATATCTAGATTTCATTTGCTACTTTACTCTTTTTGGTAATGTCTTTGGTTTTTAGCTTTTCCTCTAGATTCTCTCTAGCTTAGTATTTTCCGGTGAACTATTTCCGGCAACTTTTTCCGGCAACTCTCGTTTTTATGCAAGTTTATACCTTTTTACTTCGATTTCGACTAAGCATGCACTAGGAATGTGAGGACTTACTTTTAAGACTTATATTTTCGTATTGTGCACCTAATTAGCTATCTAGTTAGTAGAAGTGATTAGGACTTGCTCGATTATCGGATATGTTTGCTCGTTTAGTCATTTTCCGTGTTTTTGTGGTTTTTGAGCTTGTCTATTGTGCTTGAGTTTGTTGAAGTGCGAATTTCTACTTGAAACATCGTGACTATGATATTGAGCTCGGTTATTTCGTCGTACAACCTTCGGCCTTAACTCTTAAGTGTAGTAGATGGAGTTCGTTCCTCTTGTTTTAGCTCGTTTTTGTTGATTTTCGGTTCTCCGGTTTAGTAAGCTAGGGTTTCTAGTATAATTGCTTAGTTAATTGCTAGTTGCTTACTTTCTTAGTTAATCTAGTGCTTAATCAATCTTCAACCAATGAATAGAGTGTTTAGGATTTATTTCTCTCGTTTTGTGTTTTTGGACAATTGAATAGCAACCAAAGCTCCGAATAGCCTTCCTTAGAGAACGACCCGAGTCGGGTAACTCGGTTACCACATACCCACAAATCTCTACTAAACAAATGGCGCCGTTGCCGGGGAAGGCAAGTAGGACGCCTAGTTTGTTATTTGGTTGTCCCTTTTTCATGTGTTTCTCTTGATTTTTGTGATCCTTTGCTTAATTTCCGTATTTCTCTTGATTTCTCTTGCTTTGTTAGTTAGCTTGTGTTTATTAATCTCGTTTACCTTGTTTCCCATTGGTGCATTCACGGGTATAGTTTTTGGTTGTGTTTATGCGAGGTAGAAGGAATCGTCCACCTCGAGAGGAGTCGCCACCACTTAACCTCTACGTTGAGCTTAACATAGACGAACCACAACCGAAACCCGAGCCCATACCCGAACCAATGGCGGATCAACGAGAACAACAACCACTACCCCCGAACATGAGGTACTTTGCACGACCAATTATCGGAGACAACACTTCGTGCCTCGTGCTCGGTGAGGCGGCACGAAATTATGACCTCAAAGCCATTCACCTCAACCAACTTCCCTCGTTTTATGGCCTCGCACAAGAGGATGCTCTTAACTTCATTCGGGATTTCTATTCAACCGTCAATACCTTCCCTCTACAAGGCCTAACCGAGAACCAACTTCGAATGAGGTGCTTTCCATATACCTTGAAGGACCGAGCCAAGACTTGGTTCATGACGTTGCTACCGAACTCACTCAACAATTGGGAGGCCGTCTACGAAAAATTCATGGGCA